GGAGATGCCATATTTTGTGGATGACACTTTGTACAGAGTTTTGCAAGGATTGATCCAGCTTGTAAATTGAGTTCGCCTTCAACACGTCTTTGTACCCAGAAAGTCGGTTCACCGATATGAATCCCTGTATTGTTGTTGACTGTAGAGATATCAGGATAACTTTTAATTAGAAAGAAATCAAGAGTATGTGAACTGCATACCTTCGTGTCGAGGAGGAGTAGTTCCACTCCCAAAACTTGCCTTCAAGGTCGTCGAACGTCTTGTAAGTTGGCGTGATCGAAGCGTTTGTCGTAGCCGGAGGCGGGGTCATTATTGGTGGTTTTTAAGATCTTTTCGAGGGAGATGATGTGGTGGGGGAAATGTAGGGAGGGAGGTTTTATAGCGAGCTTGGAATGCCGAGATAGTGGCCATTGATTACAGACTTGAAGAGTGAGCGGAATCGATTTTATAATTGAGTCGTTTCAATGGTGGCTGTAACTGGTGGGACTGGAAGCCGAATCGATTTAGGAGAAGCGAGGAAGATGACGATGTTAATTAGTTGGGCTTCAATATTTCTAACTGGGCTTGGATTTGAGTCTATAAATTTCGTTTTGATAATTCTTTTACGCCACGTGAGGAAGTTTTTATTGAAGCAGGTGACGTGGCGGAGTGTGGGAAAGAAGAGAAAAAATGCTGATCTGGATGGCCTAAGAGGCCCAGACAGCTCCTAATCCTATAATGTACTAGTGGTGGACAAGGCCGCGGTGGCTCTTTTTTTTATAGACTAAATATTATGTTTTTTATTTAATGATGAATTTTAACTGTTTGGGCTTGGTTGTTGGAATTTCTTTATTTTTGTTGTATAAGCCCAGTTGAAAAGGATAATGTATTTGTTCTTTTACTAATATTTTGTTTACCGTCTGTATCCAATATTTCTGCGGTCGGTTAAAATGATCATAATTAAAATTGAGAGTTTTGAAAAATATATGAAAAATAAAATTAAACATATCTCTTTTATTTTAGTGTCATTTGGAACAGTTATTTAATATTTCATAGATCATTATTTGTAATTTTTATTTGAAAAGAAAATATAAAATAGCCGTGCACCGCTTGATTATATATTTTTTTCTTATTTTAGTGTCCTATATATAATTTTAGAGAAAATATCAAATGAGGTAAAGACTATTTTTAAATTTGTAATTTTATTTTTTATAAAGTAAACACTATTTTTAACTTTATTCTAGTAAAATCCTATTATATTATGATATTTATATGTTATTTGATAATAGCTACTTTCTTCAGAGGTCATCATCACTTATCTTAATTTTTTTAGGTTTTTATGTTTTGGAAAACTTTATTTCAACTTTTGAATTTGGATATATTTAAATTCTTGGTAAACTTCAGAGCGAGTTATCAACACTTTCTCTTCTACAGAAGCTAAATTCAGCTTATTATTTTTTTTTTTCCATTTCGAGTGTTTTGTCACTCTACCAATGTTCTTCTTAAATTTTTTAATTCATTTTTAATGAGTCATTATAGAAAAATTAGTTCTCTATTTAGTCAGAAAACATGTTATTTGCTTTCATACTATAGAAATTGCCAGAAAATACAGTTTCCTATTTTTCACATAAAACATGTTATTTGCTTGGCTGCTACTACTTTTTTCACACTCAAATTACGCACACTTTACTATTATTTCATCCTTTGTTTAGTTTTTTTTTTTGGACGAAAGCTTCTTCATTTGTATCCTTTTTATAAAGAGAAATTTTATGAAATACACCTTTTGGGGTGCAAATTTTCAAAACTACACCTATAGTGTGAAAATTTTCAAAAATACATCTTTTTCTAGTTTTAATATATATGTTTGGGTTCACTAATCCTAAATTAGGGTTTAGATTTTGGGTTTTAGGGTTTAGATTTAAAGGTTCAATGTTAGATTTTAGGGTTTTGGATTTATATTTTAGGGTTTAGAGTTCTTTTACTCCATGAAAAAAGTATAGTTTTGAAAATAAACACCATAGAGGTGTATTTTTGAAAATTTGTAGTTTTGAAATTTCCCCTATAAATTTCTTCAGCTGCAGACACTAAACTATATATTGACAAGACAAAAGAGCTATGCGTTAACAAAGCGAGCTCTTCTTTCTTCTCTTATGTTGCTTCTTTCAAAAGTCAAAACCGACAAATTGTCTTTCCCTCTTTCGACATACTGACCAGACCACAACATACTATCATTCCTTTGAACCTTCCTCTTCATCGGTTTGACAAGCTTTAACTGAGTCTCTGCTCTACTGAATCAAACAATTCCTTCCTTTCTCTATCTCTCTGCTGTTCGACCTCTTTACGGTCCTTCAAAGGTTCGATCTTTGCCAATTCAACCAAAACATGTTCTTCGTTCGCAACGTCAACCTCTAACTTAAGACTCTTAAGCAAACTTCAAACCTACATCCATTTTAACTCCTAACTCCATTACTTCTCTCTCCCCCTACAACCTTCTCTCTCAGAACATATGCTAAATCAAGCTTAAGCTTACTCAAGATAGGAAAGAACACATGGTACTCATAACTGTTGTATTAAGATAATAGCTACGAACATGACTCAAATCCCTAGAAAGTTTCATTGACTTTGTTTTTATTCTCTTTCTTGTATATTTACTTCATCTCAATTGACTGAGACATGTTTCAACAACCTTGTTCATTTTCCTCTCGTCTACTTCTTGCTGATTCATTTCTTTTCAATAACTACTTCCAAACATGGAGAATGAATGATGTATCCAGAAAGATTACCTCCACTACAATACTCCTATACAAGAAATCTTTTATCTCCAGTCTACAAAAAAATCAACAAAATCCCCAATTTCACTTTTGATTTCAGCGGAATAATCCAACATTCACTTTTACTTGACAAAATTAAACCTCAATAGCTTCGTAGAATCAGATATGATCGATTGTGCTGAGCATAAAAATGTCCTTAAGAAGATTTACCTTTGACTTCAGGGCTAAGCAGTTTCTTATCAATCTCTTTCGCGGTGACTTCTAAACCAGACGATCGATGCTTCGCTAGCCACACCACAGAGAACGAACCACACCCGATTTTCGGGCCAAGTTTGTAGTCACCCAAAAGTCGTGCCGTCTCCATCCGGGAACGAAGAAGTTTCATCACATCCCTATGATGAGCTATCGACACTAACCAATATCGAAGCTAAGATCTGAAATTAAGATCGACGAACAAAGAGAACCTGCCGTCATTATGAGGACCGTCAGGAACCATCGCCGAGCATCGGACACCAAACAATGAAACGGAGAAGAGAGAATGAAATCGGAAAACATCGAATCCGAGATTCGTGTATCGTTGTCTTTTTCGCGAAAGAAAGACAGAATGAGCTTGAAATTGTCGAAGAAGACTGGATCAGATGTAACCAAACCGGACCACTTAAATGTGGAGAAATAGAATGAACCAAACCGGATGAATATGTGGCCAAATAAACCAAGACAAATGCTGACTGTGATTAATTAAAATATTTTTATTGGTTGAAGGTTTTAAATGAGGTGTCAGTCTGAAAAAATTTGAAAAATTCTAGGTGTCAACTCCTGGAGCAACATAAAGATGTTAGTGTGTTGATTATAAATAGATTGTGGTTATACTAGGGTTATTCCATGCTACGCGTGGGTTTTTTTTAAGATAATTTTGTTACCTAAACTTAATTATATGAAGAATATATTTTGATGAATATGTTTTTAGAAAAAGATTGCAAAATCATTAAGAATACAACATGTGTAGAAACAGAACCGGTTTTGAGCTTTTATCCATACAAAAAAATGGTTTTCAGCTTTTATCCCAAAAAAAAGGTTTCGAGCTACTAATGTTTAACTGTTTTGAATGTACACTTTGGAAGTTTTATTTTGAAAAGTATCAACAATACTCCCTCCGCCCCAGTTATAAAGGAGGGAATTTGTTAAAAGGCACGATAACATAGAAAACACAGTTGTAAACACAAAAAGTAATATAATTTAGAAATGTGAAAAAGTACATTTATAAAGCATGTTGATGATGAAAGAAGATAAAAATTATTGATTTAAAACGTAGATGCTGTCTATACTTGTATTATATGTCAAACCTTGAAACTATGAACAAACAAAATGACAGAAAAATGTAAAAGGAAAATAGGAAAAAGAAAAAAATTTCTTTGGCAGCTAACAAACCATCCTTACTTTGAATACCATTTCAATCCATTGAGGTTTGAAAGACCTAACAATATATCTTCCTTGTCAACATTGGTTTGTGAAAGACATTTCATGAGTATTTTTTATTGACTATCTTCAAGTTCAGCTTCTTCACCAAAGAAATCGTCAATTTGCTTATTTAGCTACTCATATTCCTCCAAATCTTCTACTTCATTCTCTGTCAATCTGAGGCGATAATCATCACTCTCCCTCCCTCCAGCCTCCATATCATTGCATTAAAACTTGTCCCAGTTCCTTCGGCTTCTCAGCAAAAGTCTGAATCCTCTCCTTGTCTTTAAAATGTTACCAAATATAGATAAGAAACTGAAATTTAAGTCGTAAATAGAAGCAAATCAATATCAGCAAATAGCCAAATGGTACAATTCAGAAGAACTTTAAAAATCTCCTCATCTAATGCAAACGTAGAGTTACCATTTTGTTTAAGAAACACGGACACAAAGATCATGTAGCTAAAAATGTGAAAACTCACAACATGAGGACTTCATGAAAGCTTGGTGTTAACATATAAATTAAGAAAGTGTGTTCTTTATGTTTTTGTCCAAACCTGGAGATAGCGCTGCGGATTATCATTCATAGCTCCTGGAAAATAGAAGCTGCGGTTCAACGACAACATAGACTGGGTGATAAGATTTTGGGCACCATCTTTGTAAAGAGTCTCTACTACACAATAGGCACGGCTGTTTCGAGCATTCTAAACAAATGTGTATGAATGGGGTTATATGAGTCTATGATAACTTACGTCACTCAATAAACCCAACGCCTTTGCATTCGTTGCTGGTCTCAAATTTCCCTGTAGTAGAAAACAGTTTGCCAGTTTAAAAGAGAACAAATAATCAGGTCTCGATTGAGAATGTTATAGTGATTGAACCTCCTTCAAACCATAAAACTTTTGAAACTCACGATAAAGTTTTCCTTCTCCAGGGGAGATGTATAAATGGAAGAACTAAGAAGAAACTGATGTCTCGGCAACATGTAAGAGCTCTAAACATTCTCTCATTCTCTCCAACACCCAGCACCATGCCTGGACAAAATTTCGAAAGTCGATGGAACTTACAACGTTTTAAAAAGTATATTCGAATCTAGACTGAATCAGAGTAAGTCTAAGGAGGAACCAGCTTCACAGATGGAATATTTCATTTACCTTTTGGAGAATAAGGGTGACGGAGCCCTCCAGAAACTCCAGAAGCCACACCTCCTAGGTCAGTTAACACAGTTCCCACATCCTTTGGAGAGTCTTGTAAACCAAAAAGAATCAAAACTTTCTTTGTTAGTCGCCAAAATTTTAAACTCAGAACAGTTTTCACAACAATTTTGGATTAAGCCATTTTGAATGGACATAATGAAGATGAGATTCAGGGATACAATGAAAGAAGTAACTTAAGACAAAAACCTGAAAGCTATTGATGACCTTTATAAAAACTCTTCTAAGAACCAACCACGAAAACTGAAAAACTCATCAAAGATCAGAATGTTGATAGTTAAAACTTCGATAGCTAAGAAGAAATAAAACCAATACCAAATTGCAGGAGATGTTTGGAATCTAATTCTAGGCGAAATTGGAGGAGAGAACATATTGAGTACAAAACATTGATGTAAACAATGCCAGTTAGCATAGACAGAAAGACACAACATACCTCCAAAGTCTGATGGTTAATAATTGGATTTCTAATAGAATTTTGGAGGTTGATTGAGAAGCTGGATCAGCTTGTTTCCTGAAAACCATTCACACTACTTTGGTACATTTCAAAGCCAGAGAATCAAAGCCAGATGAAAACATTTGTTGTGTCGTACCTGATCTATGTTCACTGTGTGAATTGCCGTCTCCAAAGAACCTAGATGACATGCTTATGGAGTTAGCTCACCCTCTCCATCCTTACACCTTACACCTAATGAATTTTTTTTTAAAACCCAAATGAGGATAGCATTCATGTACCTGAAACTTTGAATCATTGAAATTGTAAACTAAACCAACAGTAAGTCACATAGGACAAGACTTTTAAGTATTCTTAGTAGTGCAACAATTGGGGTTTAACAATCTTTGGCTGAAACTCTCTCTTTAGGAGACTTTACGGATCGATTGGTTTTTTTGTTCCATTGAACGAATTGTTGTTTCTTGGCTATCTTAGTATTTCGTTTCCCCGCCCAAATAAAAAAACTATTAAATTCCCCTTGAAGCCTTGTTTAAATTCGATCATCGTATTATATAATACTGCCTCACATGGCACTGAAAACGGAATCTTTATACTCTTTACTCCAAAATACTGAATGCTAAATGTAATAGGAACACACAACATATCTTTTGCAACTACGACTACTAACTAAAGAACACACCACATCACAGACAATGGCACAACGGTAAACACATAAGCAGTAAGATGGTATAATCAAACCTTTTCAGAGAAGGGTATCGTTGGGGAAGTATATGCATTATATCCTTTTACTTGTTTCCCCTGAAGTAGATATATATTTTCTGCACAACGGTGAAAACACATTCAGGCAGGAACTTGGCTTGTATCGGTTAGCAGAAATATAGAAGAAAAAGGGTAGACTTGTATCACTTTACCTGGAGAACCCACAGACTCAGAAGCGACTCCAAGCAGAAGAGACCGACACCGATGAAGTAGAAGATCTGCAGTAAGGCAGCAACCAGATTTCATGGGTTAATAGGAACTGGCTTGGCGAAAAAAGTTTGATTTTGTGGTTTAACATAGAAAGGAGGTCATGGTTCATACCCCGGCTAATAAACTGGCTGAGATTACATCAATTGCTGCCAGCACACCCCTGTAGGATTGGAAGAGAATGAGGATCAGTTGTCGCAACACAGGTAGTTCAGTAGTAGATTCACAGACACATAATCTTAAACGGCTGCAAAGCTTGAGAACGAGAAGAGCTAAAGGAGCAATGATTGGAAGACTTACGTTAATGATTGTCCACGGAAAACGATTGGAGGTGCAATGGCGGCAAATATGCAGAAGCCAATGTGAATCTATCAAAAACTAAGTTCAATCATACAGAAAACGGGATAAAAATGTGCATCTAAAGATGACAGTTGTTTTTAATAAACTCACCAGGTAGAAGAAGAAAAACCCACCAAAGCTGAAAGCGCTATTAGTCCTGCAAGATGATAAGAAAACAGTTCAGTTATAGGCACAATGCTAATACGACCAAGTCTAGCGATAGTGAGATAAACGGGGCCTCACGTCATTGCTCGGTAGAGGGGCCTGTACCACAACACATATGAAATTGGACATCCAAGCAACGCATAGATTACGGCAAGAAAAAAGATTACGACACCTGCCATTCGGATTTAAAAACCAGCCTTATCTCAACACAAATTCAATCACAAGTAACATAATATATTTCCCTTTCATAAGGTGGATTGGTTAAAGTATAAAAATATCACCTCCCCCTTTAATCCAGCAGACTGTCACCGCAATGATGTTGAATACGAGACACAAAACTATACCTGAAAATTCAAAACTCAAACAGTAACAAGTCTATCAGGTTCACTACTGAGGACTCTATACGGTTCATAAACAGGATAGATCAAATAAACAAAAAACTTACCCAACCAACTAGCAAAAGCCAGATACTGCAGTTTTTGCGCATGAATTGGTATCTCGTTAGCAATGTCGTGGTGTATAATTGGGAAAAAGGGTGGCCAGTTTTTATCGTTTATCTTTACGCCAGCTGTGACACAATTTGATGCGTTACATTAGCAACAAACCAGAGCAAAATTTCAACAAAGTTTCAATGAAGTCCCCTGTAGACTTACATTTAGCAATAGCATCTTCTCTTCGTTTAATATCCTGGACGAATCAGAGATAAAAAGTTACATGACTTAATCAAACCAGCCAACGGATTATTAATATCAGGTGTACCAGACTCAGTCAAACTAAATGTTAAAACAATCGAGATCATTGACACTAACCATTTCTCTCCTCCTAAGTTCCGCTTCCTTATCAGCAAGCTCTCTCTGTTTCTTTGAAGAGTCCTGCACCACACAAAAACATTTCAGTGAAATAAATTCAAGTGAGAATCTTGCATGAGCGTTAATGTTCTTACATTCACCGTATCCAATGGAATATCAACGGTGGCGTCAAGGTTATTGCCAAAACCAGCTGGCCTAGATGACACAGGAACCCTTCCAGCGCCACCAGCACCTTTCTGCAAATAAAAATCATATATATTAAGATCACATATTCATAAACCTACGAGAAACTTCAACATTAGAGTTGATATAGCTTGAAAAACAACAAGTTATGCTACTAATTTACTTCAAAACGAAAAAAAAACACCAAGATCTGAATCCAAACATTCTACCATTTATAAAGACTACACTATGAAGCAGTTTCAATCAATTTGGACCCGATTACAGTAGATAAGATAATCAGTAAATTCAGAAGGAAAAACCGAAGATCCAGCAATTCAAAACCTCTGTATGTCTGCAAACACCTTGCTAGAGTATTCTACAAGAGAATTTCAATCAGAAATGAGTATCGATGTTAAATATGCGGTAGTAGAGATTTCCGTTTCTGCTATGTTCGAGGAACTAATGACGCAAGTTGCTTCGAGATCTCTCGAATAAAACACAGAATCCCCAGCGAAATTCCATATAACCCGCATCTTAATCATGAATCTGAAAGGAAGCTCATCCAGAATAATAGAAAGGCGAGACTAGGGAAGAAGAGGTAGAGACGGAGAACGTGAAATTACCGAGAACGGATTGACGATTTCTTCATCTTCTTCGTCGAAGGGATTGGGATCGTGGTGGCGATTCATTTTTCAGTTTCGCAGGTGAAACAGAGAGTGCGTAGAAGATCGGAGGAGAGGAGAGTAAAAATGAAGATAACTCCACCGACCCGAGATAGACTCCTTTTTAGTCCTCCTTTCACTCTCTTCTTCAAAACGCGGGATTTCAAACCACCTGTATTTACGAATTTGCCCCCAAAAGCTTATAGGCTGTCATTGTTTTTAGCTTTAGCCCAACCACACACAAAAAATTAGGCCCAACTAACTTTTAATTGTTTTATATGTAGCTGTTAATTGTTTTATCCCCAATATATTTACTCCTCTGAAGGAAACTAATTTTCTTTAATAAAATATCATTTAAAAAATAAATTAAACATAATCTAACTAATGCTGAAAAAAATTGTACAGTTTAATTGATTACACAATATCCCATAAAGTAAAAGATGCATTGGGGTGGTGATAGAAAACAGCTTACAATTTTACAAAAAAAATTCACAAACATGATTACATTTTATGAAATATGTCAATTACTAGACTATTTAACTTAAGATATGTCATTATTAGTTAACTTAATATAGTCTTTACTAGCCAATTTACAAAATATGTCATTGCATTAATTTGATTAAAGAATAGTTTATATTCCCTCTGTTCCACCATATTTGATGTTTAAAGTTTTTCACACATATGAAGAATTTTATAATGGTTTGTTATTAATGATTTTTCTTTTTATATCAAAAATAATAAACAAAATTAATTTAAGTAGTCATTTAATTTTGATTGTTTTCTTGAAGTTTGTAAAATGTAGCATTTATCAATAAAAAGTAACATTAAAAAATTTAAACATCAAATAATAAATAACAAAAAGAAAATCGGGTCCTACAATACTTTTCTAACACATGAGGTGTTGAGCTGGTTTAATAACTTGATTATTATTAATTTATTATAATCAAATTAAACAACCACCCTACCAGTTGATTTGTAGCTTTCTCGATGTGAATTATATGAATACTTTATTCTTTAAAGAACAATATAGCTTAACCAGAAAACAGTGCATTTGCTTACTATAAGCCAATAAAGAAATTATTTCATTTTTATAAAGCAATGAATCAGTAACAATATTAGTTTTCAAAGCAAAGTTGAAGAAGAAAACTAGAGGACGGAGAATCTATTGAAGCCAAGCAAAGCTTAAAGCATTTATCTTCAGTCCACTTTGATATTCTGGAGATTTAAACAAGCCATCTTTGTAGCATCTTTTTGTTATTCTCCTTTGGTGCTTTGGAGAATCTATACTCTTCGGACAAGTTTTCTTTCTTCTACTGTTTTCTTTTGAGAAAATCCAAAAGTCAAGATTAAGGAGGATTCGTCTTTCCAAGCGTAAAAATCGGAGCTCTAGGAAGAAAAAGGAACAAAAGAAAAAAAAAACGAATTCAATATCATGGTTGGTATTTTCTCCAGATTTTCTGTTGGTAGAAGCGGCCTTAGACGAACACAGAGTTCCATCGTAAGTTCTCCTTTCTATTTACGTGTCTGATTCCACTTGAGGTTTCATGGGACCTTAGGTTCAAAGAAAACTTAAAAGATTTTTTTTTCCATCTATTGTCTTTAATAGTTTGCTCCTGAAGCTTCAAGTTATATGGAACAAGATTTTATTTTCCCTGTTAGATTTGTGCAGCTTGAGCTTTATCTTCAATTCTTCATAGTGATTCCTTCTTAGTATGATGCTTTTCAAGCAGATTTGTTTTGTTTTTTTTTGGTTAAGATCTCAAGCATGTTTTTTTATATATTTTGCTCTGACCTAACAAAACTAGACTCAAAGTGGATGTGGAAATCTAGGGTTGCTTGTTTTCCATATTTTCAGTTGAATTTTTTTGAACACCTTCATTAGTTCAAGCTAACATTCTTTTGTTCATACTCTGCTTCTTCTTTTTTGTAATCTGATTTCCCTTCAATAGACTAATTTCAAGCTATGGTTGAATATGAGATAGTGTTTTGCTTCTAAATCAAGAAACTGGTTTCAAGCTATACTTGACCTATGATCAGGATGAGAGGGGAGCATTGCCTCCAAGTACTTCTGATCTTGTTGCTTCAATTAACACCCAAACCAGTTCAACGCATGGGATCGAAGAAGTAACAGAGTTTAAACCGGTGGATCACCCGATGGAGCCCTTGGAAGACGATCAACCCATCCAATGTCCACTCCCGGAGCCATCCATTCTCAACGTACGACCTATTAATTTACATCATCTATTTCTTGAAGTCCCAAGAACATAGAAAATGACTTCTTTCTTGTGAAAAAAAAAAACTGAAAATCATTGGAGTGTTTATTAGAAAGTTTAACGATCTTCTATTGTGTAAGCACAGGAAGGGAGAATTTGGAAAGAGAGAGTGTCGTCTTCGATGAGGAGGCGAGGCGATTTGGCGATTGTTCAAGATGGAATGGGTGAAGAATCAGATGGCTCTGTTACGAAACCATCAGGGACTAGCCAATGCAATCCCAAACGTCTCTTCTCGCCTTCGCTTAGCGCACCTGAACACCACTTGCTTAATATACTAGAAGAATGCAAAGCATCCGGTAGCATCTAAAGAACCGGAGCTGATCTATATGCGCTATTTATAAACTCTTACGTGCAAGAACAAAACCAAATCATAGTGAATGTTATAATCCTTTATAGTTTACTAAAGTCATCACGCTCATGTTCTGTGAACCATAATATATACGTTGTAACGTTTCATCAGCCTATGAGCAGTGTTCTAAAAAACGGTCAAGGTGACTGCCAGCTTTTGTGGCGATTACTTCTTAGACGCCTAGTTATTCAAACTGAAAATAATCCATTCAAAGCATTAAAATAAAATAAAACAAAATTCATGGATTAAATGAAGGGAGAGTTGGCTTAATATTCATAAAAAAAATTCTAATTTGAAAACTAACCTTGGTTTTTTTTTTTTTGAAAAATAATATTTTTAATAAGTGAAAAGACAATAAAACCATTATCAGTTTTTGAAATTAACAATGAGAAAAAGACAATTTCTTATTTAATTAAGATATATAAAAATTGAATTTAGATATATATGAGAGATTTTTAGTAAATAATTTAGATATTTTTAATAAATATTTAAACTTGGATAAAATATATTCATATTTATCAGAAATATGAATCAAACTCTATAGATAAATACACATAAATATCAAGACCTTATCATTAACTAATGTTGTCTATAGTCCAATACTCTTTCCAAATATGTATCTTTATTACCTTTGTTGAGTAACATATTGTGTGGGTTTCTTTAGCCCAAAAGAAAATAAAAAATAAAACATTTATCTAGGTGGAGAGATAGAGAAAGAGAAGTCTCTTCTGGAAGAGATCTGGAAACCGTTTCTCTGACACAGTTTTGTCATGTGTCATAACCCGATTGGGTGTAATGTTTTTTTGTTTTTTTACGAAAATCATTATTAAAAAGAAAAACAATTTTAAAGAAATTCTTAAAGGTATATGCGATGTACATGCTCTAAGTGTTACTATGATTATTCTAATGTTTTCTCCTTTTTAACTTTGACCTTATATATATTATTTGGGCATACTAAGTATGGGTACGAGGTCGAATCTGATGAAGAAGCTGGTCCCGAGACCATGCAAACGCGGTTTTTTTTGCATAACTAGGATGAACCGACCGATGGAGATAGTCAAAGGTCCGAATCCCATCACAACTTGACCAAACCCCGGGACTGATCGATGCTTCGCTAATAGAAGCTCTTGAAAGTAATTCTCAGATCAGCCCTTCTTTTTTTCTTGTGGGTTCTCTTTGCCAGACGATGGATAGGACCTTCTTGATGGAAGGTACCGTCTTGTGGAATACGCCTCAGAACAGACATACCTCACACATACACGGGGTATAACAGACGTTGTTTAAACCAGTTACCGATTACAAACAAACGCCACTTTCCGGCACCCTCTAAGGACTGAGCCAAACGTCCGAAAAAAAGAGATTGAGAAAGAACGGTCAAAGCCCACGGCGAGGGAATCAAACACCAAGCCAAGCCAAGCCTCATAAAACCTCAACCCTTCATTAGCTGCCCATGTACTCAATTTCGTATCAAATATATAGACAATTGAATATGGTGACTAATGATTATTTAGATGTTTGTATTATGAAACTTAATGACATAATACATATTTCCTTTAAGAAGCTTAGTTATTCCATATATGATACTCAATCCAAACTAGAAACTTTGACGAAAGAGGTTAGATACTTAGATCTTTACAAGTAGGTGACATAAATTTGAATCCTTTGGTACATACACAAAATTCTTTAACAATTTTTGTTTTACTAGCTATATTTATCTCAAAAAAAAACTATATAAAGTAGTATTACTGTTATAATTTAGATAAACATATTTTTTTTGTGTGAAGAAATATGCCGATCAGTTTACTCTCTTGAAAATAGAAGAAAGTTCGGTGAACAAAAATCTAACACATGTGCTAGATTTTGCAAAGATGAGTAGGGATTATGAAAAGGAGATCAAAGCTGTCAACAATATCGACTGAAAAATCTTTAGACGCAGCTTTGATTTTTTTTTTAATAATCCCTAGTAATCTTTGCAAAATCAAAGACATGTTTTAGATTTTTGTTCACTGAACATTCTTCTATAGATTTCAAGGAGTAAATTGATCGGCATACTTCTGCATACAAAAAAATATGTTCATGTAAATTATAACAGAAATAGTAAATAGTTTTTTTTTGGGATAAATATATCTAGTAAAACAAAACAAAAATTGTATGTATCAAAGGATTCTGATTTTTGCCACCTGCTTGTAAATATCTAATCTCTTTCATTAGAGTTTCCATGGTTTGGATTGAATATCATATATATGAAAAACTAAGCTGCTTAAAAGAAATATGTATCATGTTGGTAAGTTCCATAACACACATCCAAATAATCATTAGTCACCATTTTCAATTGTCTACATATTGCAAATAATATATATATATATAAGGTCAAGGTTAAAAAGAAAAAAACATTATAAGATCATAGTAACACTTGCTTAACAAAGGTAGCAAACGTATTGTACTTGGAAAGAGTATTGAATATCAGGTAACGATAGGACCTCTTAATGATATTTATGTGTATCTATTTATAGAGTTTGGTTCATATCTATGATAAACATGAATATATTTTGAAAATAACATGTATATATCCAAATTTAAATATTTATTAAAAAATATCTAAATTATTTTTCAAAAATATCTCATATATATCTAAATTCATTATATATTTTTATATCTTAAGTAAATAAGAATTTGTCTTTTTTTTTTCATTATTAATATTAAAAACTGATAATAGTTTTATTGTCTTTTTCACTTATTAAAAAAAAAATCAAAATTAAAAAAAACCAGAATTAGTTTTCAAATTAGGAAAAATCTTAGGAATATTAAACCAACTCAAATGAATAAATACTAGTAGAGTACCCGCACGTTTGTGCGGTGTGACGTTGTTGTTTTGTGTAGAAAATTTAAACCCTAAATCCAAACCCTAATCAAAAAATTTAAAAACCCAAACTTTTTTAATAGGTCTAAACATGAAAATCCGAAATCAAAAAAATCCCGAAAACCCTGACTGAACAAAAAAAATCTGGAAACTTTTTCACCCGGAACCCGACCCCAATACCTAATCAAAATTTTAAAATACTCAATTTTTTTAATATATCTAAACCCGAAAACCAGAAATCTAAAAAATCCGGAAAACCCTAAACTGAAAAAAAAATTGAACCTAACCCGAACAGAAATTTTCAAAGAAACCCGAACAATTTCTATATCTCTATAAAATTATGTCTCAGATTTTCACCCAAACCCGAACTTGTCTATAAAAACCCGAAAATCCAAAAAGCATATTCTATTGATTTGGAATTATCGTTAGATTATGTTAAGTTTTTTTTTTGCAGATTTTTAAGAGATGGAAAACGGAAGTTTTCTAAACCATCGGTTTATTTTAAGTTATTATTCTTGTATCCAAACAATTTTTTCCATTTATTCTTCTATCCAAATAGATTTTTCTCTTATTCTTATATCCAAACAACTTTTGTTTCCATTTATTCTTCTATCCAAATAGATGTTTCTCTAATTCTTGTATCCAAACATTAGAATGTACTTCTCAATTAATAATATAAAGATAAACAAATAAAGCTCATCTCATCGATTGTCAAGAAAATTACATAGCCGTGAAAAACGCCGAGAGCTAACTAACGTACAAATCTCTAAAAAGTCAAAATTTTCCTCCAATTTTCATTTTGTGTTTCATATCACATTCTGATTTTCTTCCAGATCAAACTTTCTTCCAAGTCTCCAAGAAGACGAACAAAATTCCGATTTTTTTTGTGTATACCTGTGTTATGTTAAAAGAAGATTAAATATTGGTCTCTTTTCTTTTCCCCCTTTCTAGAGGTATTGTGTTTGTATTCTGTCTCTGTTCTGCTCCCACCATGTCTTTGCATGCACTTCCCCAAACTTTTCTCGACTGCAAAACACCCGGTTTCGATTTAGTCAACGGTCAATCTAAAAGAAATTATCATCCTAAACCAATCTTCGGTTAATATCGGTTTACCTGAACCTGACGCGGCGTAACTCTCTGGTCCCGTCTGGTAACTGTCTGATGGTGATGTAAACCCCAGGCTCGTCCTCTTCGACCCATTCTGGTTGCATTTCACTAGCGTTGCTAACCGAAGGCGGTTCGTCTCTAGACGAGGTGGTGGTTCGTGCTGCATCCATTGGAGGTCCATAGAAGTGATGCGGAACGTTTCCTCCTTGAGGCCTGAAGTTGTTTCTTGGCGTCCAGTCTCTGCTCTCTCTTGCTGACTCGATTCTTGTGTAAGTCGAATCTCTCTGCGACTGAAGAAGAAACAAACTCAAAAAGAACATTCACACAGCAAGATTCTTTTTCTGAAGAATGTTCTTCTTACCTGATCCTCGGATCTACCAGGGGTTTGAAGAGCTTGACGATTGAATCTCTGAACATTGTAAAGTTCAACTATTCTGTCGTAGTTCTCACCCCACCACCTCTGAGCCTGCCACTTGTCAAATACCTCCCGGCTTCAAAAAAAGAGACACGTGTAACGTTAGCTTCATCTCATCTTGTGACACGTGTTTTATGATGAAAAAGATTGATCTCAAGTACCTGAAACGTATCCGTTTGAGATCATTTCCACCATTTGGAAGTGAGACGAATGTGATATGAACACCAGGCTCTACTTGAGCCATCCACTCCTTTGGCTCATCATCCTCTAGCACCACATCACACGACTGAGCAGAGATGGATTCTCGTTCACGTTCACCGCCATACATTGATGTGAATCTTGAGTCTGCACGTCCAGGTTGATGGTGGGAGGAGCTGTTGAAGTCCCAAGCAGGAGTGGAGCTCGTGCTTCCACCGGTATAAGGATATGGGTATGGAGCATTTTCTGAAGCAGTGTCGAAATCCGGAAACTTTCTATGCTCTTTCCTCAAGTTGCTGCTTGAGGAGCCTGACGTAGTTGGCTTGGATTGTTTATGAGCGCCAGAGAATTTAGACGCCATATCTTTTATCTGCATAGCATCCGTACACAAGAAGCTGGTTAAAGTAAAAAAAAAGTAAGAAAATCTTAAACACACAACATAGTACTAGATGATCATTGGACAAAGCCAATAGCATAAAGTTGGATAAAACAAGGTCACAAACAGTAAAAAAAAGTCTCCTGACATGAAAAAAAATGCGTCAAGAAATGGGTAATTTTTGCTTTATCCCAACTAAGAAAAAGGAGTCCACTATCATCATTCATAAAAAGAGCATCAATAAAGATCTGTTAATAATTTGAAACATATAATATAGTTCATCTTGTCTTCTCCGTGAACAGAAACATAATCATAACACTCTCTGTTTTTTTTTTTCCTCTTTGGTTCTTTTGATTTGTACTATATAGTTGCCCCACCACAAATTCTTTCTTTTTTCTCATGTATAGATAAAAGAATCCACTAGAGCTTATTCTATGAAAGTATTAGAGATCAATCTTCAATAACAAGCAAAAATCATGTTCAACAAGGCGTGGCTACATTAGCCTTTTTCAATTATAACCTTAACAAATAACATCCACACAAATTATCAGCCGTAATCCTAAAATTCAATGTGTGACATCATTTTGAGGTTTTGTTAGAGAACTATTTTTTTTTTCCATTTTATGTCTAGTCACATATAGGGGAGGGGAAAAAATAAACACTGACACAACCTATTAAAGAGAGATTTGTAAGAGATTCCAGGGAAGTGATGTTGCATCACCATATATAAAGAAGATCTTGTCTAAAGATCCGAACTTAGTCTGTAACACTGCAGCCTTAAACAACAGTAACCTCTAACCATCTTGTAAACTCAACTCTATAGTGTTGTACTTGATAGCCTAATTTTGAAATCTTTAAAATCAAACCAAAAAAAAAAAGTGTTTTCAAACTCTTTTTACTTTCACCACAATTGTTAAACAGTTTAAAGGACTATTTATCAAATTCATGGCCAAGGTAACTAGGAAAAAGCAGGAAAATAAAGTGAAAAGAGTTAAAGGATCAACAATGAAAGAACAGATCTTTAGAGAGAGAGAGACCTGTGTAGTTAGGCTTTTAACGGCTTCTTTAGTGTTGGGAGTGGTGCTCTCACGCGCTCCATCTTCTTCTTCATCGTCACCTCTGTCTGCCATTTTTGTGCAGTTTATGCAAGTAAACATCTTTCCAGTCTTTTCTTTTTACGTTCTTTGCCTTCACAACCCTATAAAACCATAAACAGACTGTATAAAACATCACAACTAAACCACTACTCATAATTCATAAATATAGATAGATATCAAACAAATAAATCAATGAAACGTTACGTAATGCTAGACAGTAGTAACTAGTAACCTATGATTCGATAACAATAAGAGTAGAGCTTAGGGATTTACTTAATTCATTAGACAAGCAACTCAACTAATGGAAAGTTGGTGAAAACCCACTAATAAAATGGTAATCTTTTTTTCATCCTACAATAATCAAAGTTGTGTTAGACATTTGGATGCAAATGGATAATTTCATCCTGATTATGGTTTTAAGCTATATAAATAAAGTTTCACTAGGAATTGTTCCTACTTTCCGAGTGGTTGTGATTTGAATATAAACTTTATTTATGTAGTTTAAATTAAAGAATCATATCTAAAAAATGCTTCAGGAAATTAAGGAACTCAAATAAAGTAGAGCAATACAAGTTTTTTTATATGTACTATATTATTTTAAAAAACAAGCTATGTATGAAGAAGGTTCATAATTAGGAGCAATAATCTTGATAAAGACAAAAGTGTTCAGAGATTAACTTGGGGATCAGAGGAGAGGACCCCAGAGAAAGAAAAAATATATTTACAAAGCACCTGAATAAATCAAGCTATAATCTTTTAGAATAATAAAAAATGGTTTCCAGTGGATAAAAATGGTCTCCAGTGAATAAAAATGTGTGAAATATGATCATGATAGAGACAAGCGATGGTATTAAAAAGAAAGTGGTCTGAACAGAGAGGCCAATCTGAGTGTGTTCATGCTTTGTTGAGCAGCAATACCAATAAAAGACCCCATCCCTCGTCACACAAATTAAAAGTTTCACACATTATTTTTCTCCCCGGCAAGCCGAAGTTTCTGACATTTAAATATGGAGAGCATAAGAGGAAAAAAAATATATACAATTCTTTAAGTTGAAGAAAACAAATACTAATATGTTTTCTCCTGACCCTCGTGTCCACAATCTGTTTTTAATCTGAAACTGAATCATACGAAAGAGACACTCGAATTTCTTACAACCAGAAGTTAAAAAACATTTGCAACAAATTAAAATCTTTACCGGTCACGTGTTTAATACCATGAAGAGCTAAAAGACCATGAATGGGGGGTATCCAGTGAAAATGGACCCATCTAATGCATGTCGAGAAAAATGAATCGAATAGAGAAAGCAAAATTAGTAATAATCTCTTCTTTACTTCTTTTTTTAAAAAAAAAATCTTCTTTAATTGTTTTCATTGAGAAAACCATTGAAATGCTTTAACAAAAAAAAAAAAAAAAAAAAAAGAGAAAACCATTGAAATGAACAAAATTAGTTCTCATATATTATTATTCAATGGAATTAAATTGAAAGTATGGGTTTAGTGACCTTTTGTATCGATGACTGCAGGTTAAGCGTGTATATCTGAAACTTGAGGATTACTTTTTAAAAACTTTTACTTTATTTTGGTATTGAGCTCTGTTCCTATAAATAGCCCATCAAAGGCTACAGAGATTTAAGCAGCGTTACAGGGACAGTAGTAATCGGAAGTAAATGCTTGTAGCAGAAAAGGACGACGTAATTGATGATGAATGAAAATCTCTTTTAATTTCCATTGGAGAATTCTTTCTCTTTATTTTTCTTGTCGAGTTAAAAAGCAAAAGTAAAGCAGAAACAGTAGTCAATACCAGAGAAAAAACTTTTGAAGATTTGGTAATTCATTAAAAAAAACGGTAGAAATCTGATATTCCTAGAGTGTGTTCTTGTCAGTAAAAATGGAGGTTAATCTAATACACATTTACTCAACAAAATGGAATATAGGAAGTGAATCAAAACATGGAAGAATCAAGCAATGAAGAGATAAAGAAACAGAATGCAACAGTTAAAGGCTTAAAGCAACAAAAGAAGAAACTATCTGATTGATTTCATACCTGATAACAACGTCTTCTTTGAGCGAAATCAAATGATCTTGGAGCAAAATTACTCAGATGAGAGAAGATTGCAAGAATCGCAGAAACAGAACCAATAACCCTTTTCTTGGTGTATTTAAAATTTCCGGGGAAAGAATCCGGGTAAACGGGTACGGAGCTCCGGGTTTTTGTTTTGAAGAAAGATGATGACAGAGAGAAAGAGAGAGGAGACATTTGGAGGACAGTGTGTAAATCTATATAAATGGAGGAAGATTTAAGGTTTTAAACGGCGTTAAGTTACAACGTTAGATTTTTAGACACTTACGGTGTGAGTTGTTGACGGAGATACCTTTTGAGTTAACGATGAAATATGGTCTCGGTAAGAGACGGCAACGAGGGCCCATTGGTGTTTGCCGGTGACGGAGAAAGTGAGAGGATCACTTACCGTGTGAAGGAAGTAGGGTACGTGGCGGTCTTTTATTGGCTGACGGTGAGCTCAAACAGGTTACGGACATATTTGACAATGACAGGCCCAGGGAATGGTCGCATCACATCGTTTATTTGATTTTTTTTTTTAGTTTGGTTCCTCTTCTCCTAACCGGTTTAGATTAAACCGGTCGTGCGTACCAAATATTGGGTTTGGTTAGAAAGAGTAAAGCCCAAACAGGCCCGTAAGCTTGGTTTAGAAAGCCCAAACTAAGAAGAGTCTCTGTATTTATTAATTAATCACAACGGCGGAGAGAGACTGGTTTCCACTTTTCAGTCTCTGTAAATCTTACTCCGTTTGATCTAGGGTTTAGCGAGAGAAGAAGAAGAAATGGCGAGTGTTTCTAGGGTTTTCGGAGCTTGCAGGGTGTTGATGGAGAAGGCTGCTTCTTCTTCTACCTCCGGCATTAGCAGTGGTAGAGAAGGTAAAGGCATTCTCAAGGTGTTGCCCGTTTCGGAGCCGCTCGCTAAGTTTATTGGGGCCAACGAAGTCGCTCGTACAACCGCAGTTAAGAAAATCTGGGAGCACATCAAGCTTAACAATCTCCAGGTTAGGGTTTTTTTTCTCGAATTTTTGGGCCATCTCTGTGAGCATTCTACTGTTTTTTTTTTTTTTTTAATCTTTTGATAAATAGACTGATAGCAAATTCTGGGGATTTTTGTGTCTGTTTAAGCATTTTGGTTATGGAAAATTTGTAGAAAATCTAAAGGCATTACTCTTTGAGTGTTTGTGTTGTTGATCTCTTGAAATTTTTGGAACAAGGTGTTTGTTTTAGCGTTTGATTTTTGAGCTGAAGATGTTGCAGAGATGCCAGAAAAAAATGAACTGACTTTATCTAGAAACTATATGCTTATGATTTTGATGTCATGAGTATCAATTAGTGAACATTTCAAACACTAAGGGTATCGTTTAGTGAACATTTCAAACACTAAGCTTTTTAGCTATATATCCTTTAGATTCTTGCTCCTGATGAGTGAAGTAATCACTGCTCCTGATGTGTTTGTTTCGAGTGATTCTGATTAGTCAGACATGTTGGGATTTTGATGTAGAATCCGGAAAACAAGAGGGAGATACTATGCGACGGGAAGCTGAAGACGATATTCAACGGGAAAGACAAGGTTGGGTTCCTCGAGATTGCCAAACTTCTCTCTCAGCATTTTCGCAAGGCTGCTTGATTTCTTGCAGTGCATAATCCTCAAGAAACGTTTAGCTTATATTGCTGCTATGTTATCCGAGAAACGCTTTTTGTTTTGTTTGTTCTTTTGGGTGATCTTTACCGGTCATATATAGACTCACGACCAGGTCCCATCTCTCTGAAATGTTTATCTATGGATGATGATAATCCAAGGTCGATGATTTAGCTAATTGTACTGTCTTGGAGCTTGGTTATCTCTACTATAATCCAACTTTTGGTAATCAAAACAAGAAAATAGACTAATGATACCTTCAAAACTACAAGGTCTATTTGCTCTTCCTCCATTTCAATATGATACCTTCAAATTTATGTATAACAACTAACAAGTATAAGAGACTTCTTCATATATAAGACAATTTGAATTAGGAGAAGAGTTTATAAGCCATTTACTGAAATAAAATCTAGAGATAAATTATATGAAAAGAGTTTAACAACCAAAAAAGAAAAAATTATACGAAAGGAAAAACGATTTTCTCTGTGTACACTGTCCAGTGTCAACTATCGTTGATTAAATAATACATGGAATAATTTCACAGTAAGTAAAGAAAACTCCCTAAGTCTCCTTGTGACCCAAGAAATCGAATGTAAGCTTTTTCTTTTTGCTGTTAAGGTAAAGAGCAATCAGAGAGGAGGATGATCTTCCTCCGGTGTCTGTGGAGGAACCGGTTTCCAACCTGGTTTCTCGTCCCAGTACATATCGTAGTAAATGTGTCCTGGAGTCTTGTTCTCCTCACAACACCATATCCCTACATATCTCTTTACCCGTCTTCTGAATCTCTCTTCTCTCCCCTGCGCCACAAACCATATTTAGGTCAGCTCAGAATAACATGTCTAAATGTTTCTCAAGTTCAAAGATCTACTTACCTTGTCGGAGAATCCAGTGAAAGCATCTTCAACTGAAGAGAACTTGATCACTTTGACATCATCGAAGGTAGAGAATATCGCCTTGAACTGAAGTGAGCACGAAACAAAGCGATGAGGCTAAGCCATTTCAAGAAGTGATTGATAGAAGAAGCTTAAGAGGTTTTAGTTTACCGTATCTTCATTGCTCCGCTTTGGGAACTTAAGAACACCAGAGGGGCTTGTTGTATTCGATGCCTCACATCCTTCTTTTCCTTCTTGACAAAGCTGAACATCAAGCCATGACTCTTTCACCTGAAACGATTCATAATTTTCATTACTGTGATGTTCTTTATGAAATGATTAATTTACAAAAACAATCAACATTTGGGTGGCTTTTTTTAGTACTTGTTTTGGCAATGATGGGTTCTCTAGAAAAGAATATTCTCTGATACCAATCCCAGGGCCAAACTCATCCTCCGGTAGCTCCTTGAGCATGATATTGACCTGTTATTGAAATTCAGTCATGGTGTTACAAAGGCACTTGCAGAGAAATAAAACAGAAGGTGCAACATTATTACAAAAACTACCTCAAAGACATGATCAAGAGGGCATATGAAAGGTTGCCTGGTCATGGATCCCATAAGAGTACCGGGGTGACCAAACCAAAGCCTATCTAACCTGCACCATAACGGTGGCATCACCTGAAAAATATTGCAGAGACCAACCAGATACATGTAAGAATCAATCATTATCACGAAGAAACATGCATATAAGCTGTTTAATAGACTCACCAGTGTACGATTAAGAAGAGACGCAATGGCCAGAGCTGATCTGATCTGTTTCATCTGTAAAGTGGACAACAGGTAGATCCATAATTTAGAAGGTGGTCAATTTAACCTAATAGTTCCTCAGGACGATGTTATGTTAGATTAGTAGACACATACTTGGTGATTCACGAGGGCAAAGTGTGATACAATGGTATGCTTCCCGTCTAGTAACAAGCTCTTTGGTATTGATGGTTTAAACGAAATGAAACCTCCTGTATCGTGTTTGGAATTTACAACATCGGTTTTGGATTTTTGGCTTTTCACATCAACAAGATTAATGTAAAACAGTAAAGAATGTTTACCTGGTGAATCGTAATATTCTGGTGGGTCGTAGAAGACCATCCCCTCTCGAAGCCTGTGGCGTTTTCCTTCAGTACCTGCATATTGGAATGTTGTATGCAAGGCGTATGGCTCTAGCCTCAGCTGTTGATACATTGCCTGCCATTAGAAAGATACAAGTTAGCTGTGTTTAAGCCATTAATCCTCAACACAGAAGAAGAAGAAGAAGAAAAAAAAAACATGTAAGAAAGGTACCTGAACAAAATAAGTATGGCCACTGCAAAATATGCTAGCGGGCAAAATTCCAACCTTGAGATTTCCATCATAAGCATAGAAAAGTCCACTATCTCCATCCACAGATGGTCCTAGCTGTTTCCTAACAATCTCATTGAACCCGTTCTGATCCCAAACCTTATCATCTGCTAAGAGAGTCTCTTTCCATTCTTTTGCCAGCTTCTTGGCAGATTCTGTTGGCCGCCAATGGAAAATTCCTATGTTGTAGGCGGCACCAACTATCAAAAGTCCAAGAACAAGAACGATTAAGAAAACATTTAGTAACTCAATTGGGTAAAGAGTGAAATGCATATCATTAGCTAATATCTACCTTGTTGCCATATATCCAAACTGTCATCTACGACTGTAGGCACAACTTGATCGCTTGATGTCAAAACATCAGCATCCGGGTATCGAGCCAGATACGGCAGAGGGTTCTGTCAACATTAATATCATCAGAAGGAAGTCTACATAACAGGACGAATTACAGTGTTTAATAGTGTGTTGAAATAGCACCTTAAGCCACACCATGTCAGTGTCACACATTAGAAGCTCGTAGCCATAAGGCAATACAGAGTCAATGAGAATAACTTTTTCTCTCCCCATTTTGTGAAATGTTGGAGAACCCCACCCGACATCGACTGTGCTCATATGGCTTCCCATGTCAAAAACCGGAACACCTTTCCAATACAAAGCCTCTAACAACTTTGTATCCATCGCACCTATAAAGTGTCACATACCATAAAGTTACTAACTTACATGGAAGACAATGAAAGAGACAATCAAGACAAAAGATATCAGAATGTTGATAACTCACCAACGAGAATATTGGAGAGATCTAAATCAGTCAAGTGCTTAACCCAAGTCAAGATGAAATCCATGAAAGCATAGTTCCCAAAGGTGACTATAATGACATTGTCCTTCACTCTCTCCCCAAACAATTCTTTCGTCAGCTTAAAGGTTTCAAGCGGTGGCATCTTCTTGTCCTTAGGAGGTGACACCCATATTTTACCCAAGGATTTGCCTTGACCTTCCTCCGGAGCTGGCAGTGGCAGTGACCTTGGTGGTGGTGGTGTAACTGGTAACTCAGACGTTGCATTTTCTTGTGGAAGGTAGTGAATTCGGCCAGCAGCTACAAATAGATCATACATGATAAACAACAAAAATTTAAGCTTCTAAGTGAGATTGATGTAACAACAAAATTGCTCATCTAATGTGACTAACACTAGACATAAAGAAGGAAAAAAACGAAACTTTCACAGACTACTTGCAGATCCAAGTACATTAGTTAATCACTGATCTGATTTAATAGCTGCGATGAAATTCAATTAGAGTGATCGAAAGTCAAAACCCATCTCAGATTACAACAAAAAATCCATTATTTCAAACTCTAAGAACTGATTTCTAATGAACATTGAGGTTTAAGGTCAACGGTGAGCTCCAATTAGAGTAAGAATTAATGGATTAGAGAATCTAACCTCCATTAATTCGCTAATGATCAGATATCAATTCGATTACGAAATCTAACTCAAGAACAAAAATCTCAACTTTAAAGAGATGTGAAGCAGATATTGACATTTGTCCTCACAATACATGCATAGAGAAAGAGAGAGGTTACTGGAGAGAGGAGGAGAAGAGAGCCAGGAGGAAGAGCCATTGGAGGGAGAGTAAATGGCGGAGAAGACATAGAAGGAGGAGACGAGAACGCCGATGATCACCGTCGCGTAGACCGTCACGAACAGAGGCCTCGAATTCGTTGCCTCGCGAAACCCATTTCGCCAACCCTCCACCATTTTTTTCCGCGCTCAATCTCAATTTCAGTCTCTTCTTCTTCTTCTTCGCGCTCAAATCTCCATTACAGAAGCTTTATTCTTTAGGCGGAATTGCTTTTGGGTATTGTCTTCTTCTTCGTCGTCTTCTTCTTCTTCGATCGATTCGATCGTTAGGTAGTCTGGTCAACTTCGTTTTCGGCGTCTTCTCTTCAGCTTTGCTCATATTTCTATGGAAATTTATTAATTTATTTAATTTGTTTATTTAACTATAGATTTGATCATTGAACATTTGATTCCGCCAAGTAATGCCAACGTAGTGGAATTTAAAATTTAAATCATAAATAAAACTAAAATCAAAGCAATATGTCGTAATCATGATTCGTGAACCGACGATGGTCCGAAACCAAACCAGACTAGTTACAACTTGTAGAAAATGTCTCTACCTTTGTCATCTATATAATTGAATAGTGTAATAGGAAAATTCAAAACACTTGTGAATTTTTATAAAATATATTTTAATCTTGTTAAGCAAATACATAATTTTTTAAAAAGTTAGTTCTGTTCCAAATTTGAAATTTCTATGTACATTTTTTTCTTTATGAATTTGGGAAAACAAACAAAAGTTAGATACGCATACAGAGACACAAGACAGAGATATCTTAATTGCACTGCTCTGGTTGCTTTGACTTTGTTCCCATTCCCACGATGAGTTATCAAATCCGAACATGTCAACTCTCAATTTTTAGTTAGGAAATTATTTGTTGATATAATCCAAACTGAAGTTTTATTACGACGAAAAAGAATAACAAAGTATTTCAGTAGAGTGTCTACCGAGTTCGGTAGAGTTCTCTCCCTTTTTTGTGCTAAATTGTAAATATTTCATTATAAAATGAAGATGATTGGTTTTACAAATTAATAAATGGTCCCATGGCAAAAAAAAAATTAAAAAGAAAAAAACATGGAAGCATAATCAATCCATACTTTGT